AAGTCCATTGCTGTATATCGGGCTGATGCTGAGGCTGCTCAGATGGAGGCCCGAGAAGCGGCGAAGACCGCCGATACTCGAGCTCATTGGATTGCCGAACTTGCTAAGTGTAGGTTTCGGAGGGAGACCCTCGAGGAGATTCACGCTCGAGGTTTCGACCTTGCCGAAGAGGTAAAAAAGGCAAGAGAGCTCGAAGCGGAAGCTGAAGCCTTGGCTTCTGACGACGATGATGATGATGGTAGCAAAAGCGGATCCGAGGACAGGGAAGAGCTCGACCCGGAAGCTTAGTTTCTAATTCTTGATGTTTGTACATTAACCTCGTAGGCAAATTTTGTATATATATATGTAATCAGGTCGACTTGTTTTTGTTTTGTGAAGACTTTTAATCGAATGTTGACCTTGTAGTTTCTCTGATCGATCAGATTTGTAGCCCCTGGGTTTACTTGTTGAGTCGATGATTCAAACTTTTGAAGGAACATAATCCGTAGGCGTAATGTAATGGTTGAGTCAATGTAAATTCAGAGTAAAAGTAGCTTATTAGCTGTCGAGTGAATGTTTTGAACTTAAAATATTGTAGCCCGTAGGCGTAATGGTCGAGTGAGTGCTTGCTCGAACTCATAATAACAGCAGCCCGTAGGCTTAATAATCGAGTGAATGTTTCGAACTTGAGATCATATGGCCCGTAGGCTTAATATTCGAATGATTATTTCGAACTTGGAATGAAAGTAGCCCGTAGGCTTAATGGTCGAGTGAGAGCTTGCTCGAACTCGGAATAACAGCAGCCCGTAGGCTTAATATTTGAGTGAATGTTTCGAACTCGAGATAATATGACCCGTAGGCTTAATTGTCGAGTGGGCGCTTGCTCGAACTCGGAATAACAGTAGCCGGTAGGCTTAATGGTCGAGTGAATGTTTTGAACTCGAGATAACAGTAGCCCGTAGGCTTAATAGTCGAGTGAATGTTTCGAACTCGGGATAACAGTAGCACGTAGGCTTAATGGTCGAGTGAGTGCTTGCTCGAAATCGGAATAACAGTAGCCCGTAGGCTTAATATTCGAGTGAATGTTTCGAACTCGAGATAACAGTAGCCCGTAGGCTTAATGGTCGAGTGAGTTCTTGCTCGAACTCGGAATAACAGTAGCCCGTAGGCTTAATGGTCGAGTGAGTTCTTGCTCGAACTCGGAATAACAGTAGCCCGTAGGCTTAATATTCGAATAAATGTTTCAAACTCGGAATATAAGTAGCCCGTAGGCTTGATTGTTGAGTGAATCTTAATTCTGGTTGAGCAATAAATCTCAAGTCATTGCACATGTGTTCATGTTTGGGCCAATCTATATGAGCATGGTTCATTTTGACCATTTGGCTCTTACAATTTTTCCTATTGTTGTGAGATTAACTTTCTTGTATCTGAACTCGATGTATTTGAGGGCCCTGATGCCCCCCTGGTATTCGAGGTCTGTCGGAAAGAGGCCTCGGATATTGTTGAAAGTGCAGCATGATCGATGGTTGCCTCATTAAAAACCTTGCCGAAAAACCCATTCGGGAGAAAACCGGTCTAAGGGAAAAAGAGTGCAATGCGTGATCTTGATTGGAAGATCTTCTTCAGCTCTCGTTCGGACTTCTGCATGGATTAGTTAGATGAATATGGAAAGGCCGCGCCTTAACAGTAGTACTGTTTTAGATGTGATATATTCCAATTGCTTGATAGCTGTTTGCCGTTTATAATGCCGAGCCTGTATGATCCTTTTCCAACGTTCTCGAGCACCTGGTATGGTCCTTCCCAATTTGGTCCCAATTTTCCTTCGTTTGGATTTCGAGTATTGATGGTGACCTTTCTTAACACTAAGTCCCCGGGCTTGAAATGGCGGAGTTTAGTTCTTCGATTATAGTACCTTTCGATTCGTTGCTTTTGGGCGGCCAGTCGGATGAGGGCAGCTTCTCGTCCTTCGTCCGATAATTCAAGGCTGGTGTTCATGGCCTCGTTATTTGATTCTTCTGTCATGAATCGAAATCTGGGACTAGGTTCACCGACTTCGACTGGTATCAATGCTT